TCTTGAGCACAAGCGTGTGGTTTGGCTTCTCCACCCCAAGAAAAGTAAAGATTGCCGGCCTTTTGATAACTCATACTGGAATGTGGACTATACGGAGGTTCAATTATGTGACCAGCACCATGGTAACCAAGAATAGAACACTGTGCCTCCTTACCAAATGCCTTTAATCTGTTGTACATATAAGCTGCAGATAATTCAGTGTTGTACGCATGGTCATCTGTGCCATAAATAATGAGAAATGATGCACTGGCTTTCTCCACAGGAATGGCTTTCGGGTTTCCTTCAACACTTCCAGTCCAGTCATCAACCCATTTGTGTCTCCATGTCTGAGCACCTTTGTCCAATCTTCCGAAGCTTGATTCATCAGCTGGGAAGAATGGTATTGGTTTCTTTTTGTAGTTCATGGGCCGTATTGACAGCGCATAAAACCCATTAATGGAGACTACTGCCTTTACATCTTGACAGTGTGACGCAAGAAGTAAGGAGCATTCAGCTCCCTTAGATATCCCCATTACCCCCACCCCTCCTGGGATGATTGACGGGTGATTTTTCAACCAATCAACAGCTTCTATAAAGTATTCAAGCTCGACATCTTCTAATTGATTAGGGAGGTCACTATGCAAAATGTATGCCAATGCAAGGGCTGCAAAGCCATTTGAAGCCAGTTGAGCAGCTTTGAATTCCACAAGTCCACCGTGAGAACCAATCAAGTCAATGACACCTGTAGATGATAGGATTAAGGAACCATAAATAAATCTGAATAATGTACAACTTAGAGCGAAGAAAGAGCAAATCCTGAATCTATGGGTCATCAGTTTAGATTATAATGTGCTTTCGTGATCATGCTCAGAGGTGCCATGATATGGATCTCCTATAGCGTCCTWTGCAGGCGTCATTCCAGGTTTGGCAAAACTAAACAGACCAGTCAACCAGTAAGATGATTTTTTTAACGTGATATCTTCGTAAACACTAAGGGAAAATAGATTTATTATGCCGAGGGGGGTATCGAAATGTTAAGGAGAGGCTCCCCCCCAAATGGAGCAGCATTAGAGTGGAGGGAGGGGAGGGGAGGGGCTTGGATTAAAATGAACACCTCTCTATCTCCGGAATCAATAAGTCTATGACCATGAAATTTCAACACACTAATGATTGCCTACGTTGGAACTAAATGTGACGTCATAATAACGTCATGCACATCATTTTAACGATTTATAGCGCATTTGAATAAACTGCCTACTGTGCTATAGAGAATGCTGCAATATCATCATTTTTTGTGTTTTTAATTGACCCCCGTACGTTCTCTATGACGCCACAATGACGTCATAGATATAAGGTAATTTCATAAATGACATATCTATACATGTTTAGGCGTTACTGCTCTCATGTGATGCTTTGGTTCTCCAACAAATTTGACGTCATCACAATTATGACGTCATTTTCTATAGTATGTCGTTGAATAATTTGACTCAAAATCTCACTTTGTTTTGGCTACATCGGTATTTTATAGTAAACTTTACAATTTGAGGAGTATTTGAAGTTAAAAAAATAATTTAAAAAAAGAAATTTTGACAAGAATATCCGTCATCTTAGGATCCGCCATCTTGGACCTCCATCTAAGAATTGAGAACTAAGAATTGAGTCAAATAGCTCAAAATGTATGAAGTACTTCTCAAACTTTTTAATGAATAAAAAAGTGAGTTTCGAAGTGTTTCTGATGATTTTAATGAACGTTTTTCCAATTTGAAAAAAATGACCCCCCCCCCCCCCCCGTCAAAAGTCTAATGGATAGAACATTAGATAACATTCACGATTTTATTTTCTGGGCGCAGAGTAGCCCTGGGAACGAGGTTGGAAGGTTGGAAAAGCAGGAGTTCCTAATCTCTCGACACCAGTTCTTCTCGGTCAAGAATATGAACACAGGAAGACCAAGAAGAGAAAAATGTCCGTTTCCGATGGAGTAGCCTGCGAAGGAGGCTATGTTTGTCTATGTGCCTTTGTGTGCAAAACTCCAAATAAAACATGTATGTATGCATAGCCGCTATTTGTTGGTATCTAGTTTGGTTTTATTTAATTGTTTTCCCGCGTTTGCTCTAGTGGATGATTTAATATATATCAAATGGTCAAGTGAGAACTAAAACCAAAACAAAATTCAAAAAATGGGTTTTAAGTCACTTTTAATTGCTTACCTTGAAAGCGACCCTCACCAGGGGGTAGGAACAGTGTCCCCCTTATCCTTCCTTCATGGACATCAATCCTCCTTACACCAGCTGACATGTAATGCCTCTCGATCGTTAAACTCGACAATGGATGACAGTTTTCTGTTT